GGTTACGTTCTAAAGCACAAATAACACGTCCACACTTCCATGCAACCCTGCGGGAAGCTGCCATATTTCTAGATTTTGTGTTAATGCAGGTGAAGTGTAGCTCCTGTCTGCACTCGGTCAAACAGACACTGACACACAGACCTGTAGCTACGCATCTACGTTTTTATATTCCCAAAGTCATACCCTGCATGCTGCCCAAAGGTTGACATAACAAAATGAGAGAAAAAAAGGGCCTATGCAGATAAAGACACCACCACACACTTCCAGTGGGTCATAAGTAATTATTGTGAGGGATCATGTTTGTATGAGTCTGTAGCCTAAACTGTCTTTTAGGGAAGTCCTGCATTGTATGCCTTTAAAGTAGGAATATCCTAGGGGAGGAGATTTTTCACCACATAATTTGTCTGCAAAGATAGAAGTTATCATCTTTGTTGTGGCAAAATGTCCCTTATTTGGTTTCTGACTGTGGTTCCTTGCTGAGCTGCAGCTGAGAAATGTGAAAACAAAGAGGGAATTGTGTACAAAATCACTTTTTTGTTTAACTCTGCCAAAGCCTCAAAGGTTCAGTTTAACTTTTGAATACATTTTTGTGCAGAATGAAGACTGCATTTTGTTACCAATCTGTTTCGCTGAAACTGCTTTCCTTATGCCTAGTATGGACAAGATGAACAATTATACCAACTAAGAAGTATTAGGTGTTTTTTGTAACAATTTTGAGGTAGGCTACTATAATACTCAGTCATTCTGTATGTAATGTACTTTTTACTTCACTTCATTTATTCAAAACATTTAGTCATTAGTCACTTTACAGATTCGGAATACACCATACTATTAACAAATAAAATATCATATATTGTTATAGATTAAGCTACACCGCAGTATATAAAGTTATTAAAAGAAGCCCCACCTAGCTTAGCTTAGCTGCAACATGAAAGTGATATGTACATTGATTTGTCAATGATTATAATCCAATAATATAATAAAATATATTATTATAAAATAGGTAGTCCTTGTGCAGAATGAGTACTTTTACATCTGTTGTTCTAAGTATACATTGATGCTAATTTGTACCTTTGCACTTCTTCTACCACCATAACAACCATAAAACTAGGCTTTAATTAAAATGGTTCACAACATATATGTGTGTGTGTGTGTG